AGGGTGAGGGAAGATTCCTGCCATGGGGAGAAAAAGAAGCAAGTGAAGAGAGTGAGACATGGTCAGGAAGAGAGATTCTGTTTTCTAAGGCTTACAATGCCCCAACATTATAAAAAGAGCTAGAAGAGCTATGAGCCACAAATCATCAACAAATGCCCATACATATTCTCTATGTCTATATCTATATTATAATATCAAAACATCTGTACATTTTCTTTTAAATAAAGGAACATATCTGTATGCTTCATGCATGCTTTATACCACTTATCTGCATAATTTCTTCTATTATAAATAATATGGCTTTCTATTTCATATCCCTGCAGAAAATTAAAAACAATAGAGTCAGTGTTGTTAAATACTTTATTTAAATAACATCATAATCCTGCACTAAGATAAATGCTCTAAAATCCTGAAATGTGGGTGAATCTGTTGCTTGGAAACAGAAATATCTTGTTTCCAAATTCCGTAGAAGTTGATTGAACAGGAGGAAAGGCAGAACAGAGAGAGGGAAACAGAGCAAGACAGAGAAACATAATGAGAGACACACAAAGACAGACAGTATAGAGATCAGGAGGCAGCATCATTAGGAAAAATGCTGCTAAAATACTGGAAGGAATTGCTTTGCTGTGGATTCTATCCCAAACATCTTTTGGCTAACATGAAAAAGATAAATACATCCATATAACTGGATGGAAAATGCACTCTGGGGCTGTAGTTTTGGGGTTTTCTGGTCGTTGTTTTTCCTGAAGCAGTACCTGTGTGGTTTCATTGAAGGGCTTCTTTAGCAGACCACATTGGAAATTCAGGGAAAAGGTGCCAACGATTTCTTAGAAATGTATTTCGTGGTACGGTATCAAGGGGCAGTATTTATCTTGGATATGCTTGCACTGAAGAATTGAGATGCTGTGGGGGAATTTTGTTGTTTCCTCATATAATGTTAATGATCCTAAATTAATTACAACCCAAAAGTTGGAATGCCTTAAACTTTCTCTTTTTGTTTTCAAAATTCTAGGGGGATTTGGCTCTGAACAAATCCTGCTCCTCACTATCAAAGGATCCAGTGTGTTTTAATTCTGCTACTCACCCAAAGGTGTATTTCTTTTTCTCTCACTGCTCCATCTATCCTAAAGAAATGCTCCCAATCAAAAACAAATTGGGTTCAAAAATCTAGGAATTAAGTGAGTGTTTTAAGGGAAAGGAAAGATGTTTACCCACTGTGATCCCTCTCCTAAGAAGAAAATGAAAATGTCCACCAAGTACAGTGGCTCATGCCTGTAATCCCTGTATTTTGGGAGGCCAGGGCAGGCAGATCACCGAAGGTCAGGAGTTTGGGACCAGACTAGTCAACATGGTGAAACCTTCATCTCTACTAAAAATCCAAAAACATTAGCTGGGCATAGTGGTGGGCACCTGTAATCCCAGCCCTCACCTCAGGCTCTCCACACTTTGGAATGATTTAGAAGTGTCATCTATGATACCCCAGATGGGAAACTGCTTGAGCCCCAGCTCCTAATTTTGCTTCTTTGAAGCACTTTCTGGTCCTTTCTCTAAGTGTGGGGTGGAACAGATAGCTCTGTGGAGTCACCTGGGCCTTGGGTATAGGAAACGCAGAATCCAGAAGGATCTGGCAGGTGGATCTTTTGCGTCTGCATTACTGTTTTCCTTTCACCTCTTTGTTTATTGCCATTCTTGACAACTCTGATATCCATCTAGATGGATGACCCAACCGCCTACCAATCCCTTCACTTCCTTAGATCCTACGGTGTGTCTTCCCTAGTTTCACTAAAAAGGTCATTGACTCATATGGTCATATTCAAGACTGTCATCACCAGTAACTACACCAATTCCAAAATCTTAATTTCAAACCCTGCTGCTTTGACCATTCATCAGCTACTAGTCAGTTTACTTAATCTGCTTCTCCCACTCAAGAAATTGACTGATCTACCCATACCTCCAAGCCATCAAAAGCATGATGTTTTCTCTATGCATAAAATTTGTTTACATTTGGGTTTTCATTTCCCTTCTTAAACAACCATCCTTCATGGTCTAGTACTATAACCAGTCCCTTGCATATACTCTGAATTGCTATTCTTCTCTGTGCTTCAGTCAAATGTTGGCAATATCTATCCCTAATTAACCCAATCAATCCCTTACTGAATGCCTGGATCTACAAATCTGAATACTCTTGGAAGTACCACACATGACAAATTCATGACCACAAATCCCAGAGAAGCCTCCAACACTTCCAGACCATTTCAGTATTTTAAGTATTTTCCCTTCTCAAAGATGATATTTCCGCATGGTCTCTTTCCTGAAATTTTTAATATCCTTCTCATTCTCAGCTGAAAATTTGATTCATATTGAATAAAATAGATCCAATCCAGTAAGAACTGCCTTATCTTATCACCACATCTACCGAGCTACCTGCATCTGTTTCACGTATTGTATCGTCTCTCTTTAAAATCTGTGAACTTTCTCTGCTCTTATCTAAGAGCATGGATACTCTGGGTCCATTCTTTCACACCTTCATTAGAAGGTGAGACAGTTCTAGGACCTCACTCCTAGAACTCCCTCCTTTTTCTTCTGCTCACCTTCTAATGGTTCATTCCCATTAATACTCAAATATGCCTTAATATCACCCACCTTTAAAAGAAATTTCATAAACTCCACATCTACCTTCAGTGACGATTCCATTTCTCCATCCCATTTGCTAGCAAAGGCCAACAAAAGATTTGTCTGTAGTCTGATTTCAGCTTCTGTCCCGTGCTCAGATTTTCCAATTGAACTTTCATTACCATCGCACTATAAAAAGTTCTCATAATAATGTTACTAACAAAATTCATCCGTTGGAAGATGATGTTCCTTCTCCATGTTCATTCTAACCACCTTTTAGCATCAGCTGGCCCAGCAGCAGATGACCAATCCCTCCTTCCTGACACTCTTTGTTCTCTGGGGCTTTTTTCAACACCAGCACTCACCTTGCTTGATTTTCTACCTTTTCTTATCACCCTTTCTTCCTGTCTTTTATTGGCCGCTTCTCCCTTACCAAACCTCAACATATTAGAAAGTTTCAGAGCTTCCTCCTGAAGCCTCCCTCTCTTTTACAGCTTTACCTAATTCTCGGGATAAAGAATCTCAAATTTTGATCTCCAGATCTGTCCCCTGAGCTCAAAAATTCTCTCTCTGAATACCTACTTGAGAACTCCTCTAGGATACTGAATTGCCATCTCAACAGAATGTCATCAAAAAAACAACATACTGATTTTCACTCAGAAATGTCTTCCAAAGTTTTTTAGATATTTTGGTGAACAATATCACTACCACTTTGTCATGTAGAAGTAAAATCTAAAGGCATTTCCCTAGTTCTGCTCCCCTTGTTGTGCAAAACATCTACTCCATGAATAAGTCATATCAGCTGTGCCTCAAAATATTTTGTAAATCCAAACACTTTCTGTCATTGTACTGCTAAAATTGTCGTACAAAGTCAGTCTTCTGTTACCTGGATGCTTCTGACTAATCCAGTTACACTAGTTAAGCTTTCTAACTAGTGTTTCCACCTTTGATCCTACTCCCCTGCCTCCAGTTCTACCCACCTCAACATTCTCTTCACATAGCAACAAGAATGCTTTTTTTTTTTTTTTCTTTCCAAATTGGGAGTGTTCTCACACCCTTACCTGGCTTAAAACCTTCTAATTGGCCGAATGTGGTGGCTAATGCCTGTTATCCCAGCACTTTGGGAGGCTGAGGCGGATGGATCATGAGGTCAAGAGATGGAGACCATCCTGGCCAACATGGTGAAACCCCGTCTTTACTAAAAATACAAAAATTAGCTGGGTGCAGTGGTGCATGACTGTAGTCCCAGCTACTCAGGAAACTAAGACAGGAGAATCATTTGAATCCAGGAAGCGAAGTTTGCAGTGAGCCAAGATCAAGCCACTGCACTCCAGCCTGGCAACAGAGCAAGACCCTGTCTCAAAAACAAAACAAAACAAAACAAAACAAAAACCTTCTAACTTTTTACAATCAGATTACCCAAACTCCTCAGTATGGCTTACAAGACACTCAATGAACTGAAACCTGCCTACCCGTCTGTCCTCTACTATCTCAATCCTTCCCACTTTGGTTATGCATGTGCTACAGTGTCTGAAATTTGGCACATCCATCATTGTCTCAGGAATTTGCATTGGTCCTAAATTTGTCCTAAATTTGGCATGTCCAATCATTGTCTCAGGACTTTGCATTTGCCATTCCTCTGCCTGGGGAACTTTATCATCTGAAGTTTCCTTGGCTGCTTGCTTCTTATCACTGATGTCTCAAATCATAACTAACCTTTTTTTTAGTGATGCCTTTCTTGACTACTTTAGTTAAAGTGAACACCTGATCTCTATCTCATCACCATATTTTTAATTTCTTATCAATAGCTGGAATTCATATCTTACTCATTTTGTGTTCATTTTTAGTATCTCCTCTTAAACCCAACTGAAATGCAAGCTACTAGAGTGCTTTATTCACGGTTGTATCCCAAAACCTACTAAGGAAATTGCTATTTTGTTAAAAATTTATCAACACTATTCAGTGGACTAGCAATATTCACCACCATTGGGAAATAAACTGCTCAGCATACCTCACAAATTATAGCAAACTTTAATGTAGTCTCATCAGCTGACTATAGGCAAGTAATCAATAACAAAGCAACCCACTGCTTCTAACAATTTTCCAGAGATTAATGTAGGATGTCTCTTCCTCACAGGGCAGACTGTGCCAGGAAGTCATACAATGGGTCCAGTCTGCCTGAGTCAAACCAAGGTACAGGGGGTTTTGGTTTTGTTTTGTTTTGTCTTTCATTTATTGTGGAGCATTGATGACAGTGCATATTAATAGAGGACCTCAGTGCCTCTGGGGCCTTGGAAAGCAAGTTGGTCATATGAAAGAGTCCTCTGTCCCTCCTTTCCTGAGTGTCAATCTTTAATTTAGAAGAAAAGAAAAGTACAGCGTTTTTATTTGGCTGTATTAAAATTTATGGGGCAGGGTGGTTTTCAGGCCGCTGCCCCTGCCAGGCACTGCTCTGATGATGTATGACTGTGACATGTCACCAGTGTAGCCAGCCTCTGATGATCCATTGCAGCAGCAAGTCATTTGTCATACATCACTGCCTCGACAGCTGCCCCCATCTGGGCCTCTCCTATGTACTCCAGCAGGGAGTCCTGGCTTAAAACAAGCTCCGTGCTCCTTCTGCACTCCCACGGCCATGGTGTTCAGCATGTATTTCTTACCATTAGTGAGAGAAAAGAAAAATAACGATTCGTGGCAAACTCTACTAGAGTTTTAAAGGTAAAAGGTTTACATATTCTGATGTTATAAGCCAAGAGCAAATAATGATGATTAGGAAGATGACTTGATACTTTCAGAATGCCACATGAATATACAAATACTTAAAAATAGCGATGTAGCATTCATTCCCTGCCAGCTAGTCTTCTAAGGATTCTACATATATTAAATAATTTAGTCCTCTAAAAGTCCGTAAGAGATGGTATTATCACCCATTTTACAGATGAAGAAAATGTGGTACAGAAAGATATACCTGCCCACTGTCATCCAGCTCAGTAAACAGAAGAAACAGCATTTAGATCAAGGCAACTGAAATCTGAAACCTTTGCTCTCAATCCCTATGCGTTGCTGTATATACTTTCAGACAGGATCCTAGTAGTTCTTCCCAGGTGCTTGTGTTAACCCTGGCATTCCAAGACCAAATAAATACATAGACACTGTGCAGGCATTTTATTCAATTTGTATAATGTACTTGTTAATAATTATAATAATTATTAAAGATAATATTTAACAATTGCATGATAGATTCTAGGGTATATGATAGGTAGTTTGCTAATGTTATTTAAGTTTCCCAACTTTGCAAGGTATTATTGTTTTTTTTCTTTGTTTTGAATAAATGGATAGAGCAGTACATTAAAAAGTTACTGAAGATGTTTTCAAAACAAGTCATTTGCAAAAGGACTAAAGAGATGAGACCACATAATCAGGGGCAGCTATACATTGAAAAAGTAAATGAGTGACGGGAAATGATTTCTATAGAATAGTTGAAATGCCATTTGTATATATTTTAAATAAATAATTCAGTTAAAATCTATTTAAATGTCACTAAAACAGAGTTTATAGTATTTACTTTTTTATTTCAACTGAAAATTAGTATTTTATACTGGGGTGGGAAGGACTTTTCACAGATTCATATTCTTTACCGTTCCTAGCATTTAATTACAACAGATACATCTTTCCATACCAAAAAGAAAAAAAAAAAGAAAAAAAAATTTATTATTAGTGATTGTAATGCACAAAGCATAAATAAACAGATACATATACTGTAAAGGGGATAACCTTGGATTTTGAGTGTCTATTATCAATGTCCTTTATTTTAATTATGATGAATTGGGCCTATGGGAATAAAGACATTTTTCCTACATGTTGATAATTTAATTGCTTCCAACCTTTCTAGTGGATTCCATGTAAATTGAGGTAAGAACATGCTATGAGCAAGTACTCATATTTGCTTTATTTTACTTCTTGGAAAACAAAATTTGTTAATTTTATATTTTCTTTATATATTAACATGTAACATATGTTAATTCACAATTTTTCATAAATTATTATACATTTTAAATTAAATGTTTACATAAAGCACCCAAATATGAAAGTTAGGAAAAGAATGAGTGAATAAATGAATCATTGAATGGATTCATTTGATGGATATTAGCATTTATTTATTCCCATTCTAAGCCTTTAAATTGGAAAATTTTGACAAGAAATATTCTAATATTAAGACTTTTAAGAGTTTAAAAAACTCTTAATTTCCAGTTACTAAATATTTCTCTTAAAATTATTGTGCTAAGAAACCTCATTTGTTATAATAAAAATACCTGTAGAATAAGGTGGTCCTGGAGCACTTTGCCAACATGGATAAAAGAAGGGAAGAAAGGCCTAGACTCATAATTATTCAGTGAATTCAAATACTTAATATTTGCCTGGACTTCTCAGCTGGTTTGGGCATTACAACTGTTTCCACAGAATTTTAATAAGCATTGCAACACAGTACTGGATTTCTTTTTAATTGAGCATTTCTGAACAGTCATCTTCCTCTTCCATCCATCAGTTGTGTTTATGTGCTGCCTCGTTGTCTTCAATTGCAGAGTGGCGCTCTGAATTCAGCTGGAGAAATAGCTACTGGTTGCCCCAGGTTCTCACAGAAGGCAAGAGACAGCCTTCTCACTAGCTCTAGCAATAAGAAGGGATCAGTGAATTACACGTTTGTTTTCCCCTCACCAAGGTTATTAGTCTGCTGTTTTTTAGTTCTCGTGTTCATTTTAACTTCACTCTTGTGTCTCTACTTTCTGATGACCATTTCCACTTAAAAGTTCTGCCATTGCTTGAAACTCAACATACTTCAGATTGAATCAATCCCTACCCTATTCTCCAAAAAGCCAACTCAATTTTCAGTTTTCTAAATATCTTAGATTTAAATGTCATTTTCTTTGATTCCTAAACTTGTTTTTGTTTACTCTTCATATTCAACAGTCACTGGAGCCCATCATTTATTTATTGTTCTTGACAATGTCTCTTAGATCATCTTTCCTTTCTGCTTCCCAGAGGCAAAACAGCATACTCAAAAACTCATGGAATTTGGTTACACACAGATATGCGTTCAAGTCCCTGAATTTCCAGGTACTAGCTGTGCAACGTTGGGGGAGTTGTTCAAGCTCTCTTGATTTTATTGTCCTCTTTTATAAATGAAGAAAACAAATTACATCTCATTTAGTTTTTATGATGGACGTTATAGAGTTTAAATAAAATTATAAGTTTAAATTATTTGACAGTTTCTCCTACAGTAGCTGTCAGAGCTGGTTCTGAGTAAATAACTATTATGTTGTTATTACAGTTACCAGCCTAAAACCTGCTAGCAATTTAAGGTGGCATAACCCAATTTAGACTAGTTAAAGAAAGAAAAATTAAAAAGGACTTTTTAAAAAGTATTGATATAGAATGACTTCAGGCTCAGCTGGTTATCAACACCCAAACTATTTCATCAAGGTTTTCTTTCCCTCTTTATTCTTTTTACCTGTGGGATAATCTCAGGGCTTAACCTCATTCCCTTCCACTAGAGTTAAGTCTCTTTTTTTCTTTTTCCTTTCTTTCTTTTTTTTTTTTTTTTTTTTTTGACAGAGTTTCAGTCTTGTTGCCAATGCTAGAGTACAAAGGTGCAATCTCGGCTCACTGCAACCTCCACCTCCTGGATTCAAGCTATTCTCCTGACTCAGCCTCCCAAGTAGATGGGATTACAGGTGCCTGCCACCATGCCCAGCTAATTTTTATTTTTATTTTGTTGTATTTTTAGTAGAGATGGGGTTTTACCATCTTGGCCAAGCTAGTCTCAAACTTCTGACCTCAGATGATTCACCCACCTCGGCCTCCCTACGTGCTGAGATTACAGGCATGAGCCACAACGCCCAGCCAAGCTTCTTCATTATGGCTGGCCAACAGCTTGTCTTCCCATTCTTTCAGCACTATTACAAGTAAGAGATTGTTGCCTCTAATGTCAGAATATTTCCAGGGGAGAACAACATGGGGCATGTGTCCATAACTTAAATTATTCTGACTAGAGGAATAGGGCTTCTTAATAGATCAGTTTTGGGTCTTATTCAGGCCTTAGGAAAAGGACACAAAATTGAAGAAATCCCAGGACTACATGGTGTATTAGAGAGTTAAAACCCCAAGAAAGGATTGCTGGACAGAAACTCACATAAATCCCAAATACCTTCTATTCAGAGGATTTGGGGATCTAGTCTTTTATATTTCCCCTTCCTTCCTTCTTCTGTCCTTCCTTTCTTCCTTCCTTCCTCTTTCTCTCTTCTTTCTTTCTTTTTCTTTCTTTCCTTCTCTCTTTCTCTCTCTCTTTCTTTCTTTCTTTCTTTCTTTCTTTCTTTCTTTCTTTCTTTCTTTCTTTCTTTCTTTCTTCTTTCTTCTCTTTCTTCTTTCTCTCTCTCTCTTCCTCTCTCTCTCTCTCTTTTTCTCTCTCTCTCTCTTTCTCTCTCTCTCTCTCTCTCCCCCCCTCCCTCTCTCTCTCTCTTTCTTTCTTTCTTCTTTCTTTCTTGAGACAAGATCTTGCTCTGTTGCCCCAGCTGGAGTGCAGTGGCGTGATCACAGCATACTGCAGCCTTGATCTCCCTAGGTTCAAGCAGTCCTCCCACCTCAGCCTCCCATGTAGCTGGGACTGTAGGTGTGTGCCCCCCTGCCCAGCTAATTTTTTTGTAGAGATGGGGTCTCACTATATTGTCCATGTGGGTCTCAAGCTCTCAAGCTCAAGCAATCCTCCTGCCTTTGCCTCCCAAAGTGCTGTGATTACAGGCATGAGCCACCATGTCCAGTGTCTCATATTTTTTATGACTACTGCAAATCACTATGAGATTAACCAATCTAAAATATAGATTGTATTTGATAATTTAAGAATTCCTTCAATTTTAAATTGACTGCATTTGAATATCTCCAGGATTTAATTCCAGTTCAACATTCCCAGTAATAGCTACATGAAACTTCTTCAACCAGGCATCCTGCATTGTCTTCTATTTGTACTATATTTTGCCCAACTCATGTTTTCTGCTTTTACTAATACTGTCAGTTTCACTCCAAAGCACTTCGGGATTCATCAGCTTATCTACCCAAATCCTACACAAACCTTAAGGTAAAAATACAAATTCCAACTACTCTGATAGAGCCTTTCCAACAGATTTTAGTCTGCATGGACCTTCTCTGCCCCAAATACCTATAGATGACAGGGGTTTGGGAGTTAGTTCCTCAAAGACTTATATATACCTTAGAATCCCCTTTTGGACAAAAATTGATGGAAGAGAAGTGAGATAAGATGGAGGGTAAAGGCAAATTTTTAGGTCCTGGATTTCCCACCCTTTACAGCCAACATGGTTCGGCTTTGCGTTTTTGTCTGAATGTTTGAAAGAGAGAATTCTTTGGTTAAATAAAATTTCAAAATTCCTGAAGCATTTTCCAGTCTTTATCTATTTAACACATTATTATAAAATATTATTTGATCAATATCTGAAAATACTTTATTTCTGCAACAAGAATGTAAGTTCCTCAATTATAAGACTTGTGTGTGTAATTTTTTATTTTTATCTTTTATTTTAAATGCAAATCTAATGTTATACAAAAACATTAAATCAATTTAGTGATTTTTCCTTAGGGAAATGAAAATAATAGTAAGATATTACTGCATACATATTAGAATGGCTAAATTTTTTAAAATGAAGATAGCAATTGCTGGTGAGAATGGGGAGCAACAGAAGCTCTCAGTTATTGTTGAATAGGATGCAAAAGTGTCAGCCACTTTGGAAGAAATTTTGGCAGTTTCTGACATAGCTAATTACGGAGTTAATCTATAATTCTGTTATCATGTTTCTAGGAAATTTGCCAGTTGATTTATAACAAGTCCACGGAAAACAAGACCAGGAATGTTTATAGCCGTGAAAAGGGCTACCAAACCTTGCAAATACATAGATGACTTTTTCTTGTTTGTTTGTTTTGAGATGGAGTTTTGTTCTTGTTGCCCAGGCTGCAGTGCAGTGGAATGATCTTGGCTCACTGCAACCTCTGCCTCCTGGGTTCAAGCAATTCTCCTGCCTCAGCCTCCCCAGTAACTGAGATTATAGGCATGTGCCATCATGCCTAGCTAATTTTGTATTTTTAGTAACGACAGGGTTTCTCCAAATTGGTCAGGCTGGTCTCGAACTCCCAACCTCAGGTGATCTGTCCGCGTCAGCCTCCCGAAGTATTGGGATTACAGGCGTGAGCCACTGTGCCTGACCCATAGATGACTTTTAAATGCATCTTGCTAAGTGAAAAAAAAAGAAAAAATCAGTCTGTAAAGGCTATACATTGTATGTTTCCATGTATATGCTGTGGAAATGTCAAAATGATAGTGATAGTAAACAGGTCAGTGATTGCCAAGAGGCAGAGGTGGGTAGTGAAACACAAGGGATTTTTTAAGGCAGTGAAACAATTCTGTATAATACTGTGATTGTGGACATAGCACACTAAACATTTGTGAAAATCCACAGAACTTTTCAGCACAAATAATGATCCTTCAAGAAATTATTTTAGGAGGCTGGGGGATCCCAGAATGTATTACAGTAAAACCTGACTGTATTACAAATGTATGAAACAACCTCCCTCAAGAAGGTGGAGGATAAAAGTGCTGACTTAATTAATTTTGGAAAGGCGTTGAATCCATAAAACCAAAGGCAGGAGGAACTTCTTTTTATAAACCCTACATACCTATTGATAGTGTTGCATTATATCAGAAAGTATAAAAGAAAAACCCATGAGTGCATACTGATTCAACTAATTACCTTATACATAAATAAATGAAGGAGAACAGACAAATCTCACACACAGAAAGATTTCAAATCATTTATGTAAATACTCTGCCCTCAGGGAATTGGGACGTAACTCCTCACATCTTATGTTTAGGCTGCCCATATTAACTTTACTGTAAAGAGTACAGTACAGATAAGGGAAAAACAAAATAACTTTATGCTGGAGAAATCTGACAAACAGTATCTCACCCAGGTCATCAAAGTTAACATCCATAGAGATAAGTTAAATTGATAGAATGCACCATTGTGATGGTATAAGGTAAATGACACGTTACCTCTGTGGTCTTCCTCCCAAAAACTCATAACCCCAGTCTAATAATTTAAAGAAACAGACAAAAAGTTTCCAACAAATACCAATTAAGCAGCATTCTATAAAATACCATCCGTAATACTCAAAACTATCGAGGTCATCAAAATCAAAAAAGCTCTAAGAACCTGCCACAGCCAAGAGGGTCCTTAGGAGTCATAATAACTAAATGCAGTATGATGAGTATTGAGTGGAATCCTAGTACCAAAAGAATAACTTTAGTAAGAAGTGAGAAAAAGCTGAAGAAATTATGTACTTTAGTTAATAGTAATCTACCAATGTTGGTTCATTAATTTTGACAACTATACCCTACTAATGTGAGATGTTAGTAAGAGAGGAAACAGCTTGTGAGGTATAAGGGCACTCTGTGCTATCGTTCCTTTTTTTTTTTAATCCAAAGATATTATAAATAGAAAGCTTAT